CCCCGCCCGTCGCACCCGGGCCCGCGCCATGGGGCTCTGGCTGCCGCCGCCCCCGGCGCCGCCGGGCTAGGGCAATGCGGGCGCCCCTGGCGCGCGGCCCCCGCGGGCACCATGAGCCCCCTGCTCCGCCGCCTGCTGCTCGCCGCGCTCCTGCAGCTGGCCCCCGCCCAGGTACGTGCGTCCCCTACATCCCGCCCGCCTGCCGTGCCCTCTCTCAAGGTTGGCGGAAGTGGGGAGGCGCTAAGAGGCCTCTACAGAGGGGATCCGCAGGTCGGACCGCGGACGGTGGCGTCTCAGGAGTCCCGCCAGGGCATCCCCCGGGAGATGTCCCTCCCCGCTGGCCCGCCAACCCAGTCCCGGGGCCACTCCCCCGCCCCACCCCATCCCTTGGGCGCAGCAGGAGGCGGAGCCGCCTCGGTGCCCGCAGGACCTAGTTTGGCGCCCACTGTGACCCCTTCTGACCTGTGGTCACCGGACCAAGCCTGGTCCGCAGGCTTGGAGATTCCTCTTTGCCAGCAGAGCGCACCTGGCAGGTCGTGGCCAGGGGCAGGTCCCCGGTGGCCAGGAGAGGACAGGTAAAGCTAGAGTGGACCCAGAAGTAGAGCAATCTGGGAAAATGTCAGAGAGGAGTTGAAACCTCCTGACTGCAAGGGTAGATAGAGCCTTGGGGACAGTGACAGGGCTAGCCCTAACTAGAGTGCACCTTGAGTCCAGCTCTCTTCTCTCCTACAGGTTCCTGTCTCCCAGCCTGATGTCCCTGGCCACCAGAAGAAAGGTAATAGTAACAATAACTTCTCTCTAGCCAGCACTAAGAAGGTTTGTTGTGTGTCCATCATCGTGTGTAATCACAGCTGCTCTGTAAGATGCAAACTCTTAATAATCTGCCCATTTCACAGAAGTGGAAATTGAGGCAGTGGGGTTCCTGGGTTCTGGATGAAGACGGTAGGGGAAGGCAGGTTGGGAGGGCAGAAGGTGGGGCTAGTGGAGAGTGGCTGCGACACAGGAACTAGGGAGCACAGCTGCTGGGCACAGGGGTAGAGGAGCCAGGGAACAGCTGCAGGACATCCAGTGGGGACTTAACCCTTATACATGTGTCCCCAGTGGTGTCATGGATAGATGTGTATGCTCGTGCCACCTGCCAGCCGCGGGAGGTGGTGGTGCCCCTGACTGTGGAGCTCATGGGCACCGTGGCCAAGCAACTGGTGCCCAGCTGTGTGACTGTGCAGCGCTGCGGTGGCTGCTGCCCTGACGATGGCCTAGAGTGCGTGCCTACTGGGCAGCACCAAGTCAGAATGCAGGTACTGGGGCAGGTGGCACATGCCTGGCTGGGGTGGATGCTGGCACTCTGGGGACTGAGGGGGTGACGGCCAGGGCCCTGGCTGGTGGGCGAGCTGTACTCCCTCCAGCCCATGGAGTGTCCCCTTCTTCTCTTCCTCTCTCTCTCTTTCTCATTGTCTCTCCATTCTTCCGAGCGCAGATCCTTATGATCCGGTACCCGAGCAGTCAGCTGGGGGAAATGTCCCTGGAAGAACACAGCCAGTGTGAATGCAGGTGCCAGCCAAGCCCCACGTCTGAGCTCGCAGAGACCAGGCTTAGGGGGTGCTGGGCATGGTGGTACACCGCAGTGGGGACCAGGATTCCGAGGGTGGAGCCGGAGTAGGCCTGGGATCTGGGGCAACAGAGTAGGATGCTGGGCTTTCCTGATCCTCCTCCTCCTTGTCTCTGTCGGTGTCTCTTACTTTTCAGACCAAAAAAAAGAGAGAGTGCTGTGAAGCCAGACAGGTGAGTCTCTTGGCCTCCTGCTGAGGTGGGGTTGGAGACCAGGCCCAGTGCCCAGAATGTAGCCTGTGGGTGGGGCGGGGACTGTACGAGTGTGTCAGGTGTGCCCCCCTCTGCCTTTTTCCTTTGCTCTCCAGTCTGTATGCTCTGACCTCACCGCAGCTCCTTCCCGGGAAGACTCTTCCTTCCCGCCCCAGACATATTGCTTCTCCTCCTAGGGCTGCCACTCCCCACCACCGTCCCCAGCCCCGCTCTGTTCCGGGCTGGGACTCTTCCCCCGGAGCACCCTCCCCAGCTGACATCACCCATCCCACTCCAGCCCCAGGCCCCTCTGCCCACGCTGCACCCAGCGCCGCCAGCGCCCTGACCCCAGGACCTGTCGCTGCAGCTGCCGACGCCGCAGCTTCCTCCGTTGCCAAGGGCGGGGCTTAGAGCTCAACCCAGACACCTGCAGGTGAGTTGTGGGGTGGCAGTTGTTTGGGAAGGCAGCAAGGCCCTGTCCTGGAGCATGTCCAAGGTGAGCCTGCCAGTGGGAGAAGAGCCAGGATAGGGGAAGCTTGAATGTGTTGAACAAATATTTACCAAGCGTCTGCTGGCACTGGGAGCGGCATAAACAAGGCACACATTCTAATGCGGAAGTCAGACATAAGGAAGGATACATGATGCCAACAGAGGCTATCAAGGCCTATGGTAAGGGGCACTTGACATTGTCTTTGTGAGGTCAGAGATGCCCTGGAGGAGGTGACATGTGCCTGGAGTAGAAGTTAGAGAGACAGCTTTCCAATTTGCAAAGCTCTGGGCCTTCCTAGAAGCCCCTGTGGTAGACATTTGTCCCACCTTGTGGGCTCTGAGAAGCCAGGGGACATAGTGTAACACTGTCCACCCTCCTCTGGGGACTTCTCACCACCCCTCCCTTCCACAGCAAGGCCATGGGTAGCATCATGTGGGCGAGGCCAGTTGGGGCTTCCCAGGAGTGTTAGTAGAGAATGGGGTTCACAGAAGGTAACAAGGGGGTGAGTCCAGAGGAGCAGGTGCTGAGCTGTGGCAGCATGACCACACCCCCTTCCTCCTCCCCTCTTTAGGTGCCGGAAGCTGCGAAGATGACACGTTGCTTTTCAGACTCAGCAGGGACACTTGCCTCATAGGCCAAACCCCAGAGGGGGACTAGAGGGCAGCCTTGTGAGAACATCCCAGCCCCTCAAGACCTCAGCCCAGGCGGAAGCTGCTCCAGGACCTGGGCCTCTCAGGGCTTTCTGGCCATCCCTTGTCTTTGCAAGGCTGCCATCCAATAGGATGGGCAGAGTTGGATGAGGAGACTTGGAGGCAGCAAGAGGGGTCGCGTACCAACTTGGGAGAGAATGGGGTCCTGTCTCATTGTTTAACCACACTGTGCAAGTGAGCATCTTACGACTGGCCCCACCCTCCCCTCACTAAGAAGACCTTGATCCTCTGCAAATAATGGGAGTTGGGCCTTGGTGTGAGAACTGTGACCCCCACACCCCCAATCCTGATAAAAGAGATGGAAGGAGCTGTCCCTGCCTGTGTCCCTGTTTGTCATTGTACAGGCTGGCTGATTTAGGCATGAATGTCTGCATCACACTGCCTCCTAGACCCAGAGCTTCTTACTCCATTCGTTGTGCAGATGGAGGGAAATGAGGCCCAAGGCCCCACCCCAGGTCAGACAGAGCCAGAATCATGTATTCTTCACATTCGTGTTATGCCTGGCCCTGGGGAGTCCCTATCCCCCTGCTTATCACAAGGTTGTCTTTCTGGAAGGAGATGGCCTATTATGGACAATGAGCTTGAGGTCAGGACCCAGATCTGCTGACTTTGGGTATCATTACTCCCTCTTTCTGAGCCTCAGGTTTCCACATGTGCACATGGAGGGAACGGATGATTGCTGTGGTCCGGACCCTTGGGCTCCAGGCAAGTTTGAGTGTGTCTTCACATAATAGAAAAGAACACCCGTCTTTCCTGCTGGGTAGCACTCTGCATTTGCTGCTTTTCCTCCCTGTAGCTTAACTCTAAAGTCACACAGCTGGCCTGTCTCCACTTCACTCCCATCTCCCTGAATGGGAAGAACCAAAGGTCTGTGGCTGGTTTAGAAGACAGGCCCCCCCGCACCCCAGCCACAGCCTTCTCCACTTTAACCTCCCTTGCACCTTGGGTGCCCCTCACCAGCCCCTGCTTGGGACCCTTCTGACCTTTGTCTGACCCAGCCCAAGCTCAGTGCTCAGCCTGCAGCCTCCAGTGCCCCTAGGGCTGAATGGTGAGGGGGTGTTCCAAAGGCCAGCTCTGGATACAAATGCCTTTGCCCTGCTGAGGCAGGACATTCAGGGACAGAGGTTAACCCAAAGCAGCCAACCTCATGGAGGCCTTCTCTGCGGTTTAGATTGAAGGATGGGGTAGTTATCTTGCTGGGCCCAAGGCAAAAGTGGGGTTAAACCAGAAGATGTAATTCCTGAGTGATTAATAACGTTCATATCATAACAGATATTCTATCAGTGAAAATGCCATAGCCCAATTAGAGTGAGACAAAGATTAGGGACCTAGAGCTACCATCTCCTGAGTCCACTTAGACCCACTGGACATGCACAATGCTTCATATACCCCTCCTTGCTCAGTCTTCAATTCTGAGGTCAGTGCTGTGGCTATCTTCCTTTTTCAATTGAAGAAATAGGCTCAGAAAAGCTGATGGACCTGGGGATTTGACCCAATCAGCTGTCTCCCTAACACTCAACTTAGGTTTAGCTGCCTCCCAAAGGCAGGTTCGTTACTTCAATTGAGATATTTTCTGGGCCCTGCTGCGTGCTGGTGAGCCTCAAAATAAGTGGTTGGGGACCTGGCCCAGCCAGACCATTAGTCTGACTCAGTGGTCAGTGTGCGGCAAGTAAAGGCAGGCCTGGATGCTGGGGGAGAGAAAAAGGAAGAGCATTCGCTGTGGGCCAGGGCCTGGCGGTGCACACCATCGCCGCAATCCTACAGGGACCCTTGCAGGGTGGGTGTTATCAAGCCCGTGTTACAGGGACACAAATCCTACCAGGCGAAGGAACTTGCCCAAGGTCACAGAGCCAGTCAATGAGAAGCGGACCCTGAATTCAAACCCGTCTCACTCTGAAGCCCAGGCTCTTTCCAAAGCAACTGAGGGTTGTGGATCCTGAAGAGACCCGGGGGCAAACAGGAGCGCTGGGGGTGACATAAAATGGCCTCTCAAGACCCCCTCCGCGCCCGCCTGACCTTAATTTCACCTCAGCCGGAAGTGCCTTCGGCCCTTCGGCACTTCCGGAAGTCACTTTCACCTAACCTTACAGACCACCGCTCTACAGGAAATGACGGAAGTCACATGGTGTCGCAGGGGCGGAGCTAGGGAAGAAGCTGCCCCAGCCGGCGTGTGGCAGCCGCTTTCGCACGGTCCAATAAGGGCGGGCGGCGTGGCCCGGCCTGGTAGCGACGATGATGCGCCTGCGCAGAGGCGGCAGCACGACTGGGTTGACTCCGGGGGCGCGGTGAGGAGGTGAGCGGGGGCCACAGCCCGGGCTGGGGGGAGCCGGGGTGTAAGGGGGCAGGCTGGATCAGGCCGGGGCGCCGGGTGTCAACGAGGTATAGGTTACGAGGAAATTGGGGGTTGGGGTCGGAGCTGTCTGGGGATGCCGCAGGGGGAGGGTTCTCATGCCGCACGGGGCGGAGTCCCGGGACTCGGGGCGGGACGTGGAACAGACACTGGTGGGACCTCTAAGCTGGTACCAGTGGAAGGCGGGGCTCTAGGGCTGGAGGCGGAGCTAGGGCTGGTGGGGGACGGAGCCTGGTCCTTGGAGGAGGAGCTGGAACAGGCGGAAGGCGGAGTCTCGGATTTGGAGACCAAGGGGGACGGGGCCCAGGCGCTGGGGGCGGGGTTTCAGCCGGTGAGTGGCGTGGCTACTGTTCAGGAAAAGAGGTCTAGTTCTACCGAGGGTGGGGCTTCAGGGCCAGGGGCGGAACTACGCCCTCTAAAGGGTGGGGCGAAGGAACCAAGCGCAGGGGTAGGCCCAGGTAATGGCCCGGGGCGTCCACGCGGGGGCGGTCTCCGTGGTGGCCGGGCCTGGGGGCGCGGTAGGCCGAGAACTCCCCCAGGAGAGGTGGTGTGGGTGGAGCGGGCTCGGCGGCCACCGGACACGGGGCCAGTCTGGGTACCCCGCAGACCCCCGAGGGCTCAGAGCTGGGGCGGCGCCCCCGGGGGAGGCACAGGGCCAGCCTGGGGGGTATCACCAGATGACCGGGGTTCCCCGGAGCCACCTAGCGGCGATGTGTGGGTGCCTCGTGGCCGGCCCCCTGCAGCGGCTGCAGAGGTGTGGGTATGCTGGGCGGGGGGCAACTGGGTGTGGCGTGAGTGGGATCGCCGGGTCGGGGCAACTGCTGTGCAGTCAGATAGGGTCTGGACTTTGCGTAAAGGGACGGGTGGGAATTGAACAGATCTGGGGACCAGGAGGGAAGGAAGGGCTGGGGGTGAGCAAAGGGGCGGGGCCCTGGCTGCTGTGGCCTCCCCTGACCCCCTCTCCCCGCTGCTGGGGTCCTCGGGCCAGCCCCCTTCTCACTGGACTGGTAAGTGTGGCCGTGGAGCCCGGGGGAGTGGGGCGGTGACCTGGGACAAGGGGATCCCCAGGGGCAGGCAAGGTATGGTGGGGGTGGAGTCCTCCCTCTTCCTGCTGGTATTCCATGCCCTTCCCACCCTCCCGGTCGGTTGGTCGGTCGGGGTCTGTCCCCGCAGAGACATGAGGCTGAGCTGGGTCCTGACAGTACTGTCCATCTGCCTGAGCGCCCTGGCCACAGCCGCCGGTGCCGAGGGCAAAAGGAAGCTGCAGATCGGGGTCAAGAAGCGAGTAGATCACTGTCCCATCAAATCGCGCAAGGGGGATGTCCTGCACATGCACTACACGGTGGGTGAAGGAGGCGGAGTTTTGGTGTGTGGGTGGGGCTTCTGGAGCCAGAAAGAACTTGGGAGCCTGGTTGCTCTGCCAACAAGGTGGGTGACCTTGGGCAAGTCCCCTCTTCCCTCTATGCCAGTTTCCATCCCTCTACCCTGCTCTTCGCTATTCCCCAGGTTGGCACAGCAAGCAGTTACAGTGTACTGTGAGCTGCCTAAAGCTCTGTCCCCTTCTAGGACAATGGCCACCAATGCTGTGGGGGGCCAGCTTGATGAGGAGAGCAGCTGGGGGTGGCTATCAGAGTAGACGCTTCTCCTCACTGGCCTTCCCATGGTCCCACAGGGGAAGCTGGAAGATGGGACGGAGTTTGACAGCAGCCTGCCCCAGAACCAGCCCTTTGTCTTCTCCCTGGGCACGGGCCAGGTCATCAAGGGCTGGGACCAGGGGCTGCTGGGGTGAGTCAAGGGGCCATAGCTGTGGTCCAGGAGGTGAACTGTGGGAGGCAAGCCCCAAGGATGGGATGGGGGGGCAGGGAGCCTGAGTGCTGCCATGTGCTGAACACGTGTTGTCCTGCAGGATGTGTGAGGGGGAAAAGCGGAAGCTGGTGATCCCATCAGAGCTGGGTAAGAGGACCTTCCTGAGCCAGGATAGGGTTCGGGGTGCATGTCTAGGGAAGGGTGAAGGCTGGTTTAGCCTCTGCATTTGTCTCCCCCATCCATTCATTACAGTTCATACCTCTTCCAAGTCTGGCAACGTCCAACAATGAGGACAGGACAAGACCCTTGGGGCATTCGGCTCTGATACCCACCCTCGGCCCTCTCACAGCCCCTTCCCATCCATTATACCTTCTCAATTTCTGGGCTTCTTGTTTAAGATGGGCAGAGGTCTGGATGTCTGCAGAACCTCTTTCTTTGCCTGGCCACAGCTCACTTTGTTTCTTTGTGCATCTTTGACAGGGTACGGAGAGCGGGGAGCCCCCCCAAAGATTCCAGGTAATATACCTTTCTGCCCCTATCTCTTTTTTTTTTTTTAGATTTTTTGAATTGGGGAATTGGGGGGATGGGAACAGCGCTGGGGACTTGGGGGAAGAGAACACACAAGTTGCTGTCGTTTTGTTCTTCAGTCTAGTTGTGGAGAACGTTGCTTCACTGGCCCAAGTTGTCTGCCCCTATCTCTTGCACCATCCCATCTCCCTGTGGCCCTGGTTCTCATTCTGACCCCACTTCTCCCCTGCAGGTGGTGCAACCCTGGTGTTCGAGGTGGAACTGCTCAAAATCGAGCGACGTTCAGAACTGTAGCCAAGTTGGGGTGGGGCAGTGGAGAGGCCATCAGGGACCAGAATAAACAAAACAAAACAAAAAAACAAAAAAAAACCCTTAAAGCTCATGAAGTGAGCCTGTGTTTATTTGTGGGCCCTCAGAGACTTAGAAACCATAGTCCCAGCCACCCCTCTCATTTTGGGCTTTTAGAGCCTTGGGATCTAGGCTCAATAGCCTGGAGGTCAAGATGGCCAGTCCCTGGGTGGCATGGTGGCTCTTGCCCCAAGGGAAAAAAGAGTGTTCTTGCCTGCCAACAGCAACACTGCTCCCCCCCAGCTCCCCAGCCACTTCCAGCTCCTGGTCTGGGAGCCAGCACTGGGCTATCTCCATGGCTGCGTGGCCCTCAGGAAGGCCTGTGGTCACCTGGGAAGAAGCTAAGCTGGCAGGAGTTGTAAAGCAGTATGTCCCCCCTAAAAGAGACCAGCCAAACCTGTTAGCTGCACCAAAGGCATATCCTAGCTTTATTAAAGGGCCCGTGCCGCAGAGTCAATATAAAAACACAAAAAGTCCCATCAGTTTAATAACAATAAAAAACCCCAAAAATGGAAAACTGAGGGGGCAGGGAAGAGGCCCCTGGGCCAGGGGTACGGGGAGCCCTGCTCATGGCACCAGGCCTGGCCGCAGGGTCCCCTGGTATTGCTGTTGCTACGAGGTCAGGGGGCAGCGATTGTCCTGTGGGAGCCACCGTTCACCTGGGTTGAGGACCCTTACTTCTTCTGGGGTGTGCTCAGCTTCTGCATGCCCCGGATCTTGTCCAGCAGGCCAGAGATGAAGGCCTGGACAGGAGGGAGGACATTAGGGAGACCAGGTCCCAAGATGACAGGAGCTAGGCTCCTCTTACTCCTCCCTCTGGGGAAACCACTTACTTACCTCAGTGGGTTTGTAACAGTCAACCAGCAGCTCCTAGTGGGACATGGGGGAAGTATAACTGTGAGCTCTCAGGAACGGGTGCCTTGAGTTTACCCATACCCACTTCCAAGGGACTGGGGCTACCCTGAGGCAGAGGAGATGCCATAATAAGGCAAGTTACCATTAACCCCATTTGATGGAGGCAGAATCTGAGGCCCAGCGTCACAAAGCTGGCTGACTCAGACCACAGAAGGCCTGGTTCCAGTGTCTTGCTTACCCAAGGGGCAGTGCCTCCAGGCAGCCCTCTACTCCCAGCTCCCCTGACCTGACCCTGCTGCCCTCCAGCCCCTCTCTCACCTTGACCCTGGCAGCCCTGGTATCATCACTCTCCATGTCTAGGAGTTCATCCACATCAATCTCCAGCTCTGGGATCTCCTCTTCCTGGGGTGGGGGTGGGGGAGGAGGGAGAGACAAGGGCCTGAGTTGGGAGAGAGGGTGTGAGAGGGGCTCGCTGGCTGAGGCCCCTGCCCTACTGCAGGACGAGCCAGCTCTCTGACCAGCAGACAGTGGCAGCTGCTCCAAGGAAGAAAACAGATCAGGCTCGTGCCAAGGCAAACTGCCCGGTCGGGGGGGGGGGGGGAGCTTCCTGTCTCTGCCAGTTGGGCACCCTGGGTGCCAGACAGGGCCAGACAGAGCTGGGGACCCTGGGCTGGGAACCCTGCAGATGTGTCTCCCTAACTTCCGGGCCCCCCATTTCAACCAGAGCAAGTAGGGCCAGCTGTCCCAGCTCATCACAGCCTCTTCCCCTCCCCCAAACACCTGTCACAGCTTCCCAGGAGTGAGGAGGAAATGAAGGGTGAGGGGTCAGTGGGAAGGACCCAGGCCCAGTAAAGGGGAAACAAAGAGCCCATGCTTTGCTGAGGGAGGGGTGCCCTCCCCCACCCCACCCCCACCCCCCAGGAAGAGCCTATCTAGTCTAGAGCCAGCTGAATTCCAGGGCTGGGCTAGGGAAGGCAGCACAGGGCAAGCCCACTCCTCCACCCTGCCCCCAGGGGACTGAGTCACCATTTGAGCAAGGAAGGAGTCATGGGGTGGGGAAGCAGAACCCAGAAAGCAGGCTAGTCTGCCCCCATGCCAAGATGGAGCTCCAGGCTAGCCCATTAGAATAACCCAGACACTTTATGGTCGCCCCACCAACCAGGCTAGCGTCTTTTAACCAGTCTAGGTTAGCAGGCACTAAGACCTCCTTCCACTGCTAGCCCAGGCTATCCCTGGAGGCTTCTAGAGGACCCTAGGCTTGACCAGAGTAAAGGCATGAGGGAGGCAAAGAGGAAAACTGGGGCGGACTGAAGTCAGACAAGAAAGAGCATACATTGGGGACGGGGAATAGACAGGAGAGGAGAGCGCGGAAGCAGAGCGCCCACTGACCAGGTGACAAGCGGGCTCAAGGTGGGTTTCCCAGGCAGCCCGACTCGGGACCGACTTTAGGGTGTCGGTACAGGGTGGGGGACACACCTGACAGTCGTAGAGGCGAGTGAGCTGCTCCAGGATCCACTCCTCCAGGTTGAGGCGCTTCCGTAGCTCCTTGCGGTCGTACTTGACCGTGACCTTCCCTTGGCGCCTCACTGGGCCCTCGTCGTCCGCACCGCCCGGGCCCTCGCCTGCAGCCCCAGGGGGACTCTGAAAGTAGACGCGGGGCCCTGGGCCGCCACTGCCCGGCCCGGGTGCCGGGGCTGCCAACGCCGCGCCCCCCGCGGGGCCGCTGTCCGCCATGGCGGCCGCCGGGGCCACGTGCGCGCGTCCGGCCCCTCCCTGCGCCGCCGCCTCCGGGACGCCCGCCGGCTGGCTGCGGGCCGCTGGCTCGGGTTAGCTGGTGGGATCGGCTCCGCGCAGCTCCGCGGCGAGGGCGGCGGAGGGGGCGCCCGGGGGCTGCTGCAGCATGCGGAGCCCCCGGGCCAGACTTGGCCGCGCCCCGCCCCCTACCCACCGATCCGCCCGCCCTTTGTCCCCCGCGGCCGCCGCCCGAGCCGCCGCCGCCGAAGCCGCTTTCTCTGTCTCGCTGGCTTCCCCCGCCCCCCGACCACACCCCCTTAAAGGGCCAGCCTTCTGCAGTCCTCCTCACCTCCACCCTGCCCCCGAGCAGAGGATAGGGGAGGGTCTACTCTTCAGGGGTTTGGGCTTGGTTGTCCGCTATCTCTATTAACTTCCCTGCCCCAAACCCAGATGTTCTAAGCGCCGGGTACCAGGATTTGCTCTCTCTCTGGAACCCTAGTGTTCTCTCATCACTGAAGCAAAAACAAGGGGGCGTCTGGAAAGGGAGGGGAGTGGGCACTGTGTGCAGGGTAGGTGTCCGGCGAGGAGACGTGGGAGCCCCTAACGTCTGGGTACTTCGACCCTTGGCCAGCGAGGGGCGAGCAGGCTTCTCCGTACGGACCGACACGTGGACTGGGATCCCAAGTGTGGAGGAGTGGAGAAAGCAGACAGGAGTTGCCCAGGTCCCCGGACGCCCTACTCGGCGGGATCCCGCACCCCCGATGGTGGAGGCCCAGAATGGGGGTGAGCAGAACTGGCCGGGCGGCCTGAAGGGCCAGACCCCAGGCAGCCACCGCCCACCGGCCAAGGTGGCGGCGGTGAACGGAATTATGGGGAATGTAGTTCGCAGAGTCTGGCCCCACATGGCCGTCTCTCCCCCGCAGCGGAGCGGGGACCGGGAAACACAGAACTTGTTTGGGGCGCCCTCGTAGGGCTAGCCGCCACGGGGCACGGCCCTCCGCACCCCTCAGCGTCTGTGTACAAACAAGGAAACTCAGGCATAAAGATACTCATGACAACAACTGACCCATAATAAGCTTTCCTAGAGACTGCTCTACACAGTCGATTCCAGCATGAAGGCACCTCACTCGCTCTCCCGCAGATCCTGGCTCTGAGGCTCCTTCTGTCCTTCAGATCTGACAGGCGCAGTTCCTGCCCCACCTCTCTTAAGCAGACCTCGCATCTCACTCCCCCAACCCCGTTTGATTTTCTGTATCTTTAAATACTCTCTTTCATTTGTTCATTGTCTGTCTCCCACTTCTAGTCTGTGAGCTCCATGGTGCGGAGACCTGTCCTGCCCTTGTTTATTGCTGATGCTTGTGGTTGAGTGGGCCTGCTCCTGCTTCAAACCCATGTGTATCCAGCAAATTACCTGGTTCTTGCTGAACTCTCAGCACCTATGTGAGACTCAGTAGTAGGTGCTCGAAAACTATTGGTTTGAACAAATGACTGCATAAAAGAATGAATGGTTTCATTTGAGCCTCCATTTCCTCCTAAGGTTGTGGTGAAGATAAATAGGAAAATGCATGGAATGTTCAATGACTACCACAGAAGTTCATTAAGTCACACAGCTAGATAGAGATGCAGCTCAGCTTGTGAACCTGAAATGAAGTCTCTAGTCATCCCTCTACCTCCCCTTAGATACCACCCAACAAGGTTGTGCAGCTCCTCTGGGATGCTTCCACAGATGGCAGGCTTACCCTCTGAAGTGCCAAGCAGAGTCTCAGGGTCTGAGAGGCAGTAAATGATTCTGTCCTAGTCCTTCACAGACACTTCTCTGGATGCTGGAGACACCCTCTGCAGCAGGTGGGTGGGGCTCAGAGAGGGGTTGAGACTAGCCTAGGGTCACACAGCTGGTGCTGTAGCTGAACTCGAACCCAGGACTTCAGGCTGGTAATTGGAGAGAAGAGAATACGAGAAGGCAGAGGCTGCTTGGAATGGAGGGGTATGGGGTGTGGAGGGGGATTGAGGTGGGCTTCTTGCTGAGGGGCCTGAGTGGAGGGGCAGGCTTGCCAGGCTCAGCCTGGGGTAGGTAGAGTGAGCTAATACCTCCTTCCTTCTCAGCCTTCTTTCTGGCCTTAGCCCCCCTTCACCCAACCTGGGAGGGCTAGGGAAGGGCTGACCCTTGCTCTTGTAGATTATATAGGACTCCCCCTTTCCACTAGGAGCCCAATTCCTGGCCTGGCCTCTGGCTCTGAGCCTGGCCTGTTGGGAGGAGCAATTTACCCAAGTCCAAATTCCCCACCACACCCCACCTCACCCCACCAAAGCTTGTCTGCTCTTTCTGAACCAGAGCATTGAATAGGGACTTGGAGGTGCTCATGGTTAAGAGGGGGAATATACCATAGCTTGCTGTGGGAATGGGTCCTACAGGCTATGAAATCTGGGTATCAGCCCCAGCTCTGC